TATTGTGAGGGAGGATACTCGAGCGCACGGCCGCGCCCTGCTACAGGAGTTTCTCGTTTCACGGGTCAAAAACATGCGGTTGAAGTTTAGAAGTGACAGTTAGTTCACTGCTGTGAAAACTCCAGAGCTGTCGAGCTGGTTCGAGCTCATTGCGCAGTTTTTATTTTTCTGTTAAAGGTCCGATATCCAGAAAAGGCCTTTCTACAATGTTATGAGATATTTATGAACTGAACAAGCTCTGAAAGTCCCACTTTTTCTCACACCGCTGTCAACAAGGCTGCTTCACAGCTTTACAAGCCAGTAAAATACTCAGGAGCTCTTCCTGGTTCACTGTAGCATGCTGCTAGCACAGATGCTAAACATACAGCTGTGCAGCTGTGCTAGGCTCTCTCTCTCTGTCAGTCAGTGTCTGTGTTTCACCTGAGCCATCATACCTCACCACACCTGTCTGCCTACTTTTCATACTCCAACACTCATCCCGTCTATCCGGTCCCCTGTCCATTTTCTCACCTTGACTACTTATACTCCACCCTTCAGCTTTTCTACGTCTTCTATGAGGGGTCACCACAGCAGAGCATCTGCCTCCATCTCTACCATCCAACCCTCTGCAGGTCCTCCTTCACCGTTTTTACTAAAAATGCTCCAAACAGGCACCAGAGCACGAACACGGAGTGCACAGGTCTATACAGAGGAGCATAAATACACTTTCTACCCACCAGAAGAAGCTGATTTAAGGGGCAAGTGCCGCTGATCTTTCTGCAGACACCCCAGTGACTTTAAAAGTTTAGTGAAAGAGGCCACGCCCCCAATAATGCTTTAAGCCTGGTTTAAAGAGAAGAACATCAGGACGCAGGTGCACTCACATCTCCAGCCAGCTGTTTGAAAACCCTCCGAAACTGTTTCTCCTCTTCGCTCTCATTGGCCTCAGCGAACTGCAGCGGTCTGCGGGGAGGAGGCTGCACACAGAGAAGCTTCTGTTAGGTCACACACTCACACATCCTCCCTCCAACTGTGTTTGGACAGTTTGTGTGTTTGTTTGCACATAAAATCTTCCACTGAGAGGGCGTCACACAGTCACACAGTTCAAGGTTGAAGCGATGCACATAAGCTCAGAGTTATCCATTGTGTGTCATCAGTTGTTAACAGGAACAAGACAAGAAATCTTTCTATTTCTGCGACATTAAATATTAAAACTTGTTCATCGACATTCAGGTGCTGCACACAACCCGGGCCCAGAAATTTGATCTGGGGTCTGTTTTCCCCGTTTCTCATTGATGCAGATCTACCTGTGCTTTCATTAGTAATGTTGGAGGCTGCATTAGGACAGACTTCACACAGAGTACTTACAGGGTCTGACGGCATGAACTGAGACGGGTCGATGTCGCTGTGGGGGAGAAATCACAGGCTGGGTTAGCCTAGCTCAGCATAAACACTTGAGTAGAAACTGATAGAAAAAGTGTGCTCACGTCACAGATTTGATGACGCTCCCGATCACTCCTTTCAACAGAAACATTTTGGCGTCGATCTGAAAAAGACCGAAGACTTTAATCGACACTAATACGTGAAATGTGCGGCTGTAAATGAACCGAACACTGAGGTTGAGAAACCGCCGACTGAAGACGAACGTTTCATTAAAGTTAACTCTGTCACGTTTTTATACTCTTTGATCAGTATGATGTCATAGATAATAACTATAATAAAATATGATTATATACTTCTGATAATAGCCCGTTTTCATATTAATAACATTATCATGGAGAAATAATCATATAAAGAGAACAAACTACATGCTTTAAATATTTCCAGCTAACACATCAGGCTCCAAACTGCATTCAGAGGCAGGGCCGTGTCCAGAGAGGGGAGACGTGGTGGCACCACCCCTCCTGAAATATGAATATGAACTCAACATGAAACGCTACTGTCAGTCTTACAAATACGACCTGTGCTGGAATCTAACCAAGTACATGTACTCACTGATCTAATATTTTAGTGTACTTCACTCAAGTATTTCCATGTTATTCTACTTTAAAGCTTCTGTTACTTCTTATGTTGCCGACTCTTGCAAAGACACAGTGCTTATTATTCTACCTGAAGCTGGAGCAGTTCATGAGTGAATGTAGTTTATCCACTGAGCTCATTTTGGCTCTCAGAGATTATTAAAACAACAAAATCAACGATTATTATTCAAATTAAATGATTGTGTCTGGAACAGTTTTCAGGTTCCATTCAGCCCAGCATCCCTCCCACCGCTGGATTCGCTTTATTCAGCTTTCTCAGACGAATTAAACCCACAGCTCATATTAAAATATATAAATATTTATATTTATACAAATATAAAAGACATTTTTCTTCTTTTTTAAAGGGAATTCACAATTTTCCAGTCTGAGTAATCTGACCAAATTAAGCGATAATCAAATATGAATGAATCAGTAACTTTTATGTAGTAGTAACGATTACGCAGACTGAGTACTTTAAGTGTATTTGGATTCATTCAAACAAGACTATTAAACATATTAGTAACGCTCACACACACACACACACACACACACACACACACACACACACACACACACACTTGTCCATTTTGTGCCGTGTTTTCTTAAATAAAGCGCAGGGTCAGCGGTGGGAGGA